AACCCTAACCCTAACCCTAACCCTAACCCTAACCCTAACCCTAACCCTAACCCTAACCCTAACCCTAACCCTAACCCTAACCCTTACCCTTTATAAGAACTTAGCTCTTAGAGAGGAGCTACTATTAGAGTTTAGACTTAGTATTTTTTAGTATTTAGATCTTTAGTTATTTTAGGGTCACGTGACTGAGTTATATACTCTACTTATAGAGTTTTCTGCCTATTTTCCTTCCTATACCTTCTAATCTTATGTAATATCTTATATGTTACTCTAGTAAATTAAGTTCTAGTATTAAGCCTTCCTGCATTATAACATATTATAAGGAAAATAGAAAAAAAACTCTATAAATAAAGTATATAGTCTAGTTATATAACTATAGAATAACTAAAGATCTAAATACTAAAGAATACTAAGTCTAAACTATAATATAAGTGAGATTTAGTACTAACTTCTATAGAGTAACTTTAGCTACTTATATAGATTATAGTCAAGTAACTTAGTACTACTAGAGTTGAAGTTTCTCTACTTATAATATTTTTCTTTCAAAGTGGGTCGTGTTTGCATTATAGTATCTACATGAAATATACCGCCCCCACTAATGTGTAATAGCTCTAATCCGCAATACTAGATGCGCGCCGTGAAGCTCTCAGTTATGTCTCGTAATACATGCAGCGATCGTCTCGCTTCTTGTGCCGGTACTATTACTACTAACTTATTAGAGGCCGGACGCCTTCTTCACTCAGTAATCTGCGTTCTCGCGGATCACTATGCAAAGAGTCATTATGGCCTTTCAGTTACTCTCCGCATCTGCCGCAACGGCGCTCCTCATCATTATCTCCATCTTCGTCATGCGCCATCTACGAACCTCACAGACCCTACAAGCTGCTAAGAAGCCCGACCACCCGGACCTCACAAGCAGCTCACCAGAGCCCACCATGCTCAGCAAAAGCCTCGCGTCGGCACTGCCCGACAGCGTCATCTTCCCGCACGACGCTGCCGCTTTCAAGCAGTCAATGAATTCCTACTGGGCCCAGCAGGAGTGCGAAGTGATCCCAGCATGCGTCGTCCGGCCCCGTGACGTTCAGCAGCTCTGCACGGCCGTCACTATCCTCAAGCGCGAGTACGACGAACGAGGAAAGCAGGCTGGCGAGGAAAAAGCCGAAGGACTATTCGCTATCCGCAGCGGTGGCCACTCTCCGGTTTCCGGTGCTGCGAGCATCAAGGGAGGTGTTGTGATCGATCTTGGCCTCTTCTGTGAGGTGACACCCTCTGAGGATGGATCGAGCGTGGCCATCGGAGCTGGCGCCAAGTGGATGAATGTTTCTAAAGTCCTGGATGAGAAGGGTCTCGCTGTTGTAGGAGGCAGGAACTCTGCTGTTGGGGTGGGGGGCTTGACTTTAGGAGGTAAGCTTCTGCTTTTCACGTCTGTACTCGCCCCTCTCCCCCGCTCCGATTGCGAGTCGGACCCCTAAAACCCCCGCCAGCAGCTCCACCATTCCTCTGTTCTAGAGCTGATCCAAAGGCACAAACAGGCGGTCTCTCCTTCTTCTCCCCCCGCTTCGGCCTAGTCTGCTCCAACATCCTTAGCTACGAACTCGTCCTCGCCTCCGGCTCCATCACTACAGCCTCCGCATTAACCAACCCCGACCTCTGGCGCGCCCTCAAAGGCGGCTCCAACAACTTCGGCATCGTCACGCGCTTCGCGGCCCGCAGCTTCCCCTCCACCAAAATCTGGAGCGGCTTCCTCTATATGCCCGCCTCCCAAGCCGCCAAGGTCCTCGCGGCTTTCCACGAATGCGTCAATAGAGCGGATTCAAGCGATCCCAGCATCACGTACGACAACCACGCCGCCGGCCCCGTCGCCTGCTTCTCCTATATCCAGAAACTCGGCGTCCAGGCCATCGCCTTGAATCTCGTCTATACTAAGCTCCCCGAGAACGAGAAGAAATGGCCCGCCTGCTGGAGGACCTCCTCCTTCGGATCGCTCTGGCGCCTCTGGAGCACCTGCAAGGTCCGCACCCTAACCAGCGCGACCGACGAAATGAACGCGCTCAATCCCCCCGACAGGCGCCAGGTCTTCGCCACCACGACTATCAAGAACGACCCTGCCACTCTCGCCGCCGCGCACGCCGCCTACTGCGATGCCATCGCCTCGATCCGCCGTGTCAACGTCAAGGGCTTGGTCTGGACGCTCGTCCTGCAGCCGCTCCTACCGGACTGGGTACGCAAGGGCGATGCGAATCCGCTAGGCCTGCTCGACTGCACTCATGAGCCTCTCGTTATCGTGAGCTTCACGATCAACTGGGCCGAACGCCGGGATGACGAGTTCATCAAGACGACGACGCGCCGTGCTGTCGAGCGGATCGATGCCGTTGCAGCGGCTAATCAAACGGGCCATCGATTTCGGTACTTGAACTATTGCGCGGAGTGGCAGAGACCGTTTGAAGGTTATGGCGAGGAGAGTTGGCGGTTCTTGCAGGGGGTGAGTAGGAGGTATGATCCGGAGGGGTTGTTTCAGAGGGGGTGTGTAGGTGGGTTTAAGCTGGATGTGGTGGATGGTGAGGCTTGAGACGTGGCTGCTCGCGGTAAAAGCACAATGTACGTGCGATACCTGCGGCTTCGACTCTCTAGCCCTAGCGACGAGCATGATCCCGGCTAGACGAGGCGAACAATTGCGAGTGAAGGCGTACTATATAATTTTAGAGATCATTATAGTTTTCGCTACGATAGCATATAGTAGAAAAACCTATTTTATAAGTATATTAATATAAGATGTTTGAAATAATAATAAGGCTAAACTATAGCTTAAGTGAGTTTTAGTGGGGCGCGTATATAAAAACGCCTAGCTTCCGAGCTAGAGAAGCGCCGAATCGTGTAACGCCTACTATAGAGTGGCGGGAACTTCTGCGGCAAAAGTGTATTATATATTGCGACGCATACACTCCCTCCTTTATAGCTACATTTCGTGACGCAAGTCTTGCACTATTCGACTAGTCTGCATGCGCCTTTAGTCTTTTCCCGCTTTTCTCGTTAATGCAATCCGAGGTTAGTAGAGACAAAGTGAAGAGACTTGCACTAGAAGCGGGTCAACCCACACCGCTACGGTAAAGGGGTTATCCAGAATGGCGAGCACAATCTCGAGCCTTATCAGCAGATGCTTAATAGTCTCCAACTGGCGAGTAGCGGGCCCGTTTTTCTCTTCAGGGCAAGAAGGGTCTCGCGGCCACGCTGCGTGGGTTGAATCTTGAGCCCGAGAAGCGGTATCCCGTCTTCCTGTACTTCGAGCCAAAGGAGCTCAACGTTGGCGAGTCGCGAAATGTGGACGTCGTTCTCCGTGATGTGGATACTGGGCGGGTGACGGGAGGAAGTACGTACAGCCTCGGCCTGGTCAAGGGAGAGTAATTGGACTTGCTGCGAGCCTGTTGCTGCATCGGGGCAACTGCTGAGCAACGAGGGTTGTTCGTCAACTGGTAGCCGCACTCACGGGTTACGGGCATTGGGGACACCGCACGAACACCTGTAACCGCTGCAATTTCATTCGGCCTAAGCGGATACATTTGCTTTTGTGTCAGATGACAAAGAAACTCGCCACCTTCTTCAATCGTCTTCTTAGGATGAACGGGATTTGATATCCCCGGCTGTGGTGGCCGGCGGATTAGGAGCAGATGAGGCGGCTGCATCGAGTGCTATAGACGAGTCTGCCGGTTCTGGTGCCTGTGTCATCGGCGCTGCACTGAATGGCTCCCCTGGAGATTTAGACGGCGCACTCCGAACGTCCTTTTCTAGCCCGTACTGGGGAGACAAGGGGGCGTTGCCGTCCGCACCACGCACCCGCGTATCACCCAACTCAGCCGGCGAGGTCGGGGCCGTTGGGCCATACGACGGCGCCTCAAGCTCTGTCTTCGGTTCCGTAGTCATCAGCTCTACTGGAGAGACATGATCTGTGAGGCCAGGCAGCTCCGCTTTCTTAGGATAGACTTCGCCCGTGGAGACCTCGAGGCCGTCGGCCGCTTTCTCGTGCACCATCATCGCGTCTGTTGGTGAAGCTTCCGATCGTCCGCGCTTCTTCCTTCTCATGCAGAGGAATGCAGCAAGTAAGATTGCAAGTCCTATAGCAGCGGCCCCGATGCCAATGCCTACTTTCGCCCCGACAGACAAACCGTGCTCAGATGCTGCAGAAGATGAGGACGCCGAAGCTGAAGGACTTGGAGAGGGTGTCACAGTCAACGCTATAGCATCGATTGTGCAATTTGCAGCGCCGAGGGATGATTTTGAGCTTACGAAGACTACTTGATCGCTCGTAGAATCACTGGAAGTAAGCTCAAGCTTAAGAACATCGGTTCCCGTCGAAATCAAGGGACTGAAATGATGGCCGAAGATGCCGCTTTCATCATAATGACCGGTATTGGAGGTAGATAGAGTGGTCCCGTTGGAAAGATTGCTTAGGGTCACAGTCACGTTACAGGACCCTCCACAATTTACGGACAGCTCAACAATTTCGCCAGGCTGACTCTGGTAAGTGAAGTTCGCCGATCCAGAGGGAAGGAGAAGTGCAGCAAGAGAGTGCCCCGCGATTAACGTTGTGATTATCGTACCATTGTCGGACCCAGTTGGTCCATTTGCAATGACAAGGCTAGCAAAGCTTTGCAGAGCAGCTCGGTCATGGATTACGCAAAAGATGCCCCCGCCCTTGAGAATAGTCGATAGCTTTTGCATCTCAGTCGTGTTAGAACCAGACAGGTAACTATAGTCTCCAACGAGGAGGCCATAGGAGACTCGAATACCGCTAAGAATAGTCCAATTTCCAGGAAGAGGTCTGGCAGGCTCGTCGAAACCGCGACTCGTGAGCCAAATCAGACCTAAGCGACTACTGTCACCACCGGTTATATTGAGCTTGTCCATGGCAACGTCCAGTGCACTAGGATACTCATAACCTCCCTCGGTACCGACTCCTCTGAAGTCGATACTTGAGGGATCGCCCAGTGGAGCGACTGTCTTGGAATAGTCCCAAGCTTCGTCCATCACGATAGCAAGGTCAGCCTGATGACCATTAGTAGCTTCGCTCTGGCTGATGAGGGCATCGTTGATCGACTCGGCTGCGGGAACCCAAAAGCGATAAGGATCCAGCGACTCCATCTGGGAAGTGCCATCTATGAGGAATGCGATTTTTCGGCCTCCATTGCTTCGATGGAGATGGAGTTCTGGACAGCTCGGCTGAGATGACGTCTGTCGTATAGCCAAGTTCTGTCCTCTGCCGTTCAAGCTTGAATAGGCGATGGAGAGCTGCAAAAGCGCGAGAACCGCGCTCACCAATGTGCAGGACTGCATGGTAGAGGTGAGCTGACGTCTGCTAGTTCGGTACAAATCGTTCCCGCATGATGGCAACACCCAGCATGCATAAGAATGTGAAGAGGTTTCGGAAGACACGAAGAGCTGACAGCTGCTCGAACGTCAGTTTCAGCTCATCGCATCAGAAGAGGCACGAGACTATGCTTGGCAGCCCTAGTGAGGCGTTCTTAGGGCTGAGAGAGAGTTTCCTAACTGGTCGGAACATCATGAACGTATTGAAAAGATGGTAAGCCGGCGACCCCAGCAGCCGGCCACCTGCCCTTAGGGCTAAGGTCCATCCTGGCGTACGGCTGACTAATGCAGTCGTTTGATCACCTCTCCGACACGCAGCTAATGGGCACTTTGAGGGGGCAATCAAAGGTCTGCATTATTAGTTGTGTGGACCGCGGCAGGATGCGCGATTGGGCGAGGGGAATGTGTGTAGATAATCCTTCCTGCTCGAAGATCACCTACCGCCTCGATATCGGAAGGCGTAATAGGGCCATTCATTAGGTAGTGTTCTTGCATCAGCTGACAGAGACATTCTCTATGAACCGTGGATATATCCCCAAGATCTCAGGAGAGGAGACATGTTTTCCGAATTTGAATAATGTATCCGCTCTTTGACCGAGGTAAGGAGGAAGAACTGCTAGGCTTCTTTAAGACGTTTCTCGTATTCAATTTCCAGTACAAGTAGCTCCCACCACAACTAATTTTTTGCTGATGAAGAACGGCTGCCGAAATACTCTATTAGCCCTAATATTAATTGCGGCTTTTGGATAGACTATTATATAGTTCAGCTTTTGTTAAGTCCGCTAGACTTGAGGATTGATATCGCCTCCCTCGGCGCCACTCTTCCTGAAAAGTCTCGACCGAGCTCCCGCATTCGGACAATAGTTAGACGGGCCCAGACACTTTGTCGTGGGGCAGCAGCTCAACAGACAAGACTGCCCAGGCAAGCAATCGGCACTCGTGGTACAATCCTCAAAGTCCGCGCAAGCACCGCCAGCCAAGCAATGACCAACGCCTTCAGTATCAGGCTGACAAAAGCCGCAGGTGGCGCAAGCCGTGCTGGCATCGCATTGGCGGGGGTTGTCGCAGAATCCGAACGGCGCTTCGCACCTGCCGTTACTGCAGATCCATCCGGCTTGGCACTGCGTCATTGTCAGCGTCTTGTTCCTGATATTGGCAGGTAGAACATACACAGGCGCCGGGGCTGCACTCGGTCTGGTCTGTGGGGCAAGCAGGAGGTGCTAGAAGTTGTCAGTCATTCTGTAAGAGACATAATACAGGCAACAACCTACGGGTAACAGTCACGGTGGATGTAGATGCAGTGACACCGAAGCAGGAGCAAGCGCTCGAGTACCTCGCAGCGCCGGAGCAGGCCGTGGCATAAGTAGGCACAGCAGTAGGCGTAGGAGTCTGGGTGATTGTTTCGGTGTTCCCCGCCGTGACCGTGACGGTCCGAGCAAAGAAGCTGGAGCAGTCGGCTCGAGCGGACGATTGTGCGACATCACCGCGTCGTGTCCCGGTGACTGCTCGGGCGCAGTTGTCTGCGGAGCAACCCCCTTGCCTGGGGGCGAGAGAGGCGAAGCTGACACCCGTGAGGGTGAGAAGAGTAGCGATTGAGAGTCTCATATTTATTCGTGAAGAGCAAGATGATGAGCAAGAGGGAACTACTCAGAAAGGACTGTCTTAGGGACGAAGGCAGCTGATGAGAGTGGATGAGGAATGATTCGAGCAGCGCGACCAACAGCTACTTATACATCAGAGAAGGAGCCCAACGACGGCGCTGTTTCCCCAGGCATCGTGAGAGTTAGACCTGGAAGAACGCCTTCCACGCGGCCTGTACGTATCCCGTTTCTGTCGCCCAAGTGGCTTCTGCGCGTAAGCGACCTTCTCCAGAATCCTTCCAGCTGAGGCATCATTTCGAACGCTGTCTCCTAAACTAGACCGATACAAAGCTGTACAAGGCGCACGTCAGCCGCCACGTGGGTTCAGACGGAGAACACAGCTCAGCCTTCGTATAATTCAGCCGTGTTCGAGTTGTCAGTGGCATGAGCTGGACTTCGCCGCCAGCAACGTTCAATAGAGGCCGGCCTTAGTCTCGAAGCTTGAGCAGTGTCCAAACCGCTATCACGCAGAAGGCGTTCTCGAAAGAGCCTAGAAGTGCCCAAGATGTCTCGCATACCCCAGGGCTGAAGGGCTAGCTGAGCAGTAGGGCTAGTTGAGCAGTAGGGCTGGCTGAGGGGAAGAGCCGACTGAGGAGGACCTTAGGGCCGAGTGAGGAAGAAAACACGCTAGGAACTATGTCCGGGCCAGCGGTATGGTACTCGGTCAGTAATGTGAAGCAGCTGGACCGGACCTTACCTGGAAAGCGAGTGGCTGACTGAATCCCCAGATTCAGCCTCACCTAGCGCACGCTTAGATACTCGTATTCCAAGATTGAAGTCTAGCGCCAGGGGCGTTCTGCCCATCACATGGTTTGGGACTGTGCCCCCATCGCAACTACGACTCTGCACGACGTGCCCAATCTTAAGTAACAACTCAGTGTCTCTACCAACGTTGCGCCAGCGTGCAGTGGGGTTAGCAACTGATGTATCCCCTCGCCAGCGCCGGAAACTTCTAGGCGGGCTGGCGAGGCGAGATAATCCGCAACCGGCGAGGCGGTGGCCGGCTGGGTAAGCTTCATTGCCTGATAGGCAGTTTCGCGTCTTAGCGTTGGTGTTGTTGTAGACCAAGTGAAGGGGTAAGAAACGGCGAGATCATCACGTGAGATAAGATACAATCATATTATCTATACCCCCGACACATCCGGCCAAGGGGCCTTCGCTCAGCTAGTAAACTACCTCAACCAGGGTGTCCAACAAACCGTCGGACGGTTGGAAACGGTTGGACGGTCGGCTATATCGCCGACCAACCGTTGAGTATTTGATGGCCGTCCAACCGTCCGCAAGGAGCCGACGGTCGGGGTCAAAACAGTTGGACGGCTTGGCAAAGGGTTGCTAGTGGGTTAAGGCTATAAGAAGTAATCACGTGGTGTTTCTATTATCTTAAAAGCCTTAGTATATCACGTGGTGATAAGATAAGATCGGAATAACTACCTC